GTGTGCGATAGACTTACCTCCACGTGGTGCACCCTGGGCAACGTATACTCATACGGCAAAAAGTCTATCAACTGGCAGTTGACCTCTGACTTCAAACTTCCATAACCCCACTGTATGTCATATTAGACCCCTTCTACAGTACTCATCTAGCCTTTTCCCTGACTTTGTGTCTGTCTGTCTGTCTATTACATGTGTAAATCGCTCTTCTTTCTCCCTGTCGAATTTTTCTCACTTTAATGTTTCCTTCCTTCTGTGAAGCCCGAAGTCAACTAAAGGGCTAATGATAGCTATCAAAACGCCTGCCATTTGAAATAAATAAATAAATGTTCCTCCTCACTTTAAAGCCCAATGTCAGCTTAAGGGATAACGATAATTCTCATAAAAACAATCATTAATTATAGATGAATCATTATATTTATAGTTAAATTACAAATAATTCCTTTTTTGAGTTTCAACAAAGTGGAATGGGCTAATTTGTGTCCCCCGTTTTATCAAAAGCTGACATATCTTATTTGAAATATCCTACTTACACTATTATATATTTCCTAAATAATATACAGTTTAAAATTTTTAAAAGTATGCCTAAATGTTATGAGCATATTCGATTAAGGATAGCGAAAGTAAAATAATCCGCAAAACTGATAATTTTTCACGCTAAATTACTGCACCGAAGAATTTCTGTTGCACCATTAGAGATTCGTTCCACTTCGGAAGCCAGCGGTAAAATTGGTTTATTTAAGCATTCTGAAATTTTATGAGCGAGTTCTCACCTACTGTTTCCTGATTGGTTCACTCTGAGTCCTCAGTAATATATATAAGTTCCCACACAGTATCATATAATCGCCTCAAATTTTGGCGAATTTCTTTTTTATAAGAACTTCAGTAAGTCTGTTTTAGAGCTTTTATTCTTGACTTTTAAATCCTTTATTAAAACGTTATTTATGGCATTAGATTAATATCAAATTTAAAAATCATTTAAAAGTTAATTAAACTTTGTATCATGACAAGTAAGCAATATAAGCTCTTATAATTATCAGTTGGCTAAAAGGGATAAGAAATACTAAAATCCCTGTTATAATTGCACAAAGATGGCAAATAATCACTCTGAGACTTGAATAAATGAACTGACTATAATAATAGATTACAGATTGTAATGGATTAATGTTTCTACATATTACCACTTAAAACAATGGTTTAAAGAGCAAATCTCTTGGAAATTGCGCCATTATGCTATTTTATTCTCTAAAAGCTCTTTTACAATAAATTAAAAATTAATTTCAGTTAACAAATAAAATTTATTTAATGGATTTTAGGGGGTTTGAAGCGTTAAAAGCCTCACCCCCATCATCCATATTGAATTAATTGACCGGCTTGACTTGTAAAATTCCTAATTAGGAAATGTGTGGTTTTAGGGTCAAAGTTCATGACATAATTGATGCATTAGCTTCATTTCATTTTTTGTATCAAACCTTGAAATTTGCTCTCTCCAAATGATTTTTCTTTGTTTAGCTTCAAGAAACGAAATTGAAACTCAATTTGTGATTTGAAAATCTAATTTTTATGTGGTTATTTATGTGTGTGTACATATGTGGAGAGAATGCATAATTTGGGAACAAAATTCAGAAAAAAAAACAAAATAATCACTTTTAAGATTAGTGCGTTACATGGTTTGTTTGTGTGTCTTTCCATGCATAAATTTTTCTAAACCGGAGTAAGTACACTTTCCTGATATTAGGCTTTCTCCATTGCCCTATTTGACATGTTTTGATTTTTTAGAAATAATGTCAATTATTGAAAGAATTTTCCTACTTTTCGCGATTGCAATGTGTCTCCACCTTTCGTCAGCAACATCGGCACTAACAGAGGTAAGCGTTTATAAGCCTAGCCTTCTCTTTTACTGTTTAACAAATAACTTGCGGCAGAAAGTAGCTCTAAACTTTGTTAAGAAACAACTGTTTTGCAAAATTGCCGTCATTGAAAGTCTTGCGGAAACATGTTTGCAGCTAGTTTCTTCAAATTCAGCCGTCTGCGTTTTCCTACCATTTTCACACAAAGATTTTGTAGAATGGTTGTTAAAATTATATAGCACAAAATAAGCTTCGCACAGGTGTCCGTGATTTTGACGTTTCGTTTTAAGCCACAAAAAAATTTCAACCTCCTTGGTTTTAAATTCATTAATCACTTCAATCACCATATGTCACCATGTGTGCTGAAAATATCTGTATAGCCAATAAACAGGCCAACCTGTTTGAAAAATCACTGAATACACGTGAATATGGGTGTTTTAAGATTTTGAAAAATCGTTCGTGTTATTAAGTTTATACGAATTAAATTGAACGTAATAACATTTGTACATCGAATTAAGTAATGGATGATTTCATGGCAAGGTAAAATCGAGTGGTCATTTTAATTTACAACTTTGTGTCGACAGGAAAGGTGGCTTCTACAAAGCAGCCGTTTACAATTGTTTAATTTATTTTAATTAAAATTACAGTCGTCTTATTTTGTCTTTGTTTCAGAAATGCTTTAGATCTGATCGCAGCATGATCCAATACCTTATGCGAAAGTATTCTCCATGCTTCGAAAATCCATTGGATCCAGAATGTCTTCCTTCTGAAATTGAAAAGAAGGCAACTCTGGCCTATATTAAACGAAGTCCCGAATACGAATCATCACGGACTCTGCGTGGAACTTTGGCATACCCCTAAAAGAAACTTTAAAATTTACGTTCAATTGCGTATTACCATCCTTTATTGCTGTTAATTAAATTATCATGGATATTAAATGAGTTGTTTGCGGTCTATTCAAATTGCTGAATTCAGACATAGTTTAATCGTTTACTGTAATAAAATATTTGGTAAAGAACATTAGGTATTTTATATCTTGTTTTTTTTCTTGGTATTAATTATAAGTATATATGATTTATAAGTTATTTCAATGAAAATTTAGATTTAAAGTGTAATTAAAAATGAGGTAACCATAATGAAACAATAACTTAGAAATCTTAGATATTAATTTGAAATAGATATGTGTTCAATATAGTGAGATCATTCCTAATTATATAATTAATTAAGGACAAATATATATACATGTATACTGTTATTCAGGAATCCAATTAGAAAGAGTCTTTCTATAGTAGCTTATTTATTAAAGGCGAGATTTAGTTTTCTGAGCTATTAAAATTTTCAGTAAATTTCGTCTTACTTACATCGAGTGAATTCTGCGCGCCTAAGTCTCTGCTACTTTAGGGTCATATTAAGTGTTTATAAGTAATTCAAATCCTGTTACTTTTCCTTCCTACGAATGAAAGGATGAAGTGATGTTCACGACCATCTGACATATTTAATCAACACGTTAACCACCAATGTGGATCAATTAGTGAGCTAATTAAGAAATTCAAAAATAAGAGGTTTGAAATGTGAAGCATTAACTGGGGTGATAATTGAAACTTCTTCACTTAGATAGCCTAAATCAATTGATATTACCGCTTTGATGCTTTTTATTACTAATTTTTCCTTATTTTTTAATGAATTTAACTAACGCAATTTTTCTTTGTTATCTGGGAATTTAAATATTAAAATTATTGTATGCGCATTACGGAGTGCCGGGGATGGATGAGAGGTTCTCATGCACAAATATCCCCCACCCAATTCACTAGCTTTAAAAATAAAAATTTTATAGTAAAGCTAACAGAGAAACATGGATTTTCTATAATCGCTCTGAATATAATTTCCCTAGATCAGAAATGAATTTGTTACTGATTGCATAATTTGAAATAAGCTATCATGCAATAAAGCCCTAATATTCCAAATATAATTTCAGGACCAAACAACATTCGATATCGTTGCTATTGAATCAATTGCTTTTGTACAGACAAATAAGTATTAATTCATAGAGTACCATTTGAAATTGAAAAAAAGTAGGCTCCGTATCGACGACAGTTAAACATTTAAACCAACCACGAATTGTTTTTCAAAGTCTAAAATGAAGATGTTTACTCTCAGTCGGAACAAATGAAATAATTTCTATTCGTGGTTTTTTATTGAATGTGCATTGTTTATGCATGGGCGTCTGGTTTGGAATGTATTTTCGAGCTAATTGGAGATAATTTTGAAAGCCAAAACTAAAAATTAAAATCCTTGGCAAAATTGCCAATCCCTCTCTAATACAGCAAAAAAGACAATGCACTTTTATCGTTTAAACATCTTTAAATTATATTATCTTGACATGTTGAAAAGTTGATCTGGCGAAATTCATGGCAAAACATTGGAATAAAATAGTTGGAAATATTTTTTACTGATAGCCAATCTCTGCCGTATTAAGGCAGTGAAATAAAGAATATTCTGTAGGAACGATTTGCCTCTTCTGCTATTGGAAGAAAAAAGAGAACTAAAGAAAGAAGATTAACCGCCATGTTTAAACGCCGATTTATCAATGGACACGGTGGAGAGGCGATTATTACACCTTCTGTTAATCGACTCGGTTGGTTAGTCAATATCTATTGATAAGTCTATTGAAGCGTAGAATGAATGTTGCAATTAAATTATCCTAATTACTGAAATCTATACTAGATAGAAAGGTAAATGAACAAAATTAATTACCACAAATATTTTTTTTCCATGACGGATCTCTAACCGATTAACTTAGAAGGGCGTTTAACCCAATAATAATAATAATAATTTAATACACACACCTTCACACAGGAAATGTAACGATATTGAACCCAAATATTCATTGAAGCATTAAATTTTTTATGCCGATAAATTAACCTTTGGTACAGTTGTTAGTATTAGTATGGATAATAGAAACAGTTAAAAACCGCACACAGGATAGTTTAACAGATTTGTCAAAATGGATGAGCAGAAGTATTACTCTTAGAAATACTGCTATCAGTTAATTTCAAGTTGATTGAATCACCTGACCCAACTTTGGTTTTATATTGAACTGCATCTACTTTCGCTTTGGTTTATCTGCGCTTCTGATCACCTGATGCCAATTTAGCTTCCAAAATCTTCCCTCTACGGGCAAATAAACGCACGATTGTAAATCAAATAATGCAGCTGATAATCTATCGATGGGGGGTTCATGATAGACTTACCCCCACGTGATGCTCCCTGGGAAATGTATATTCATACGGCAAAAACTCTAATATCAAGCAGTTGACTTCTGACTTCAAACTACCATGACCCCACTGTATGTCATATTCCACCACTTTCACAGTACTCACCTCATCTTACTTGTTCTCTACCTTTGTGCTTTTCTCTCTTACATCTGTGAATCCCTCTTCTATTTCTCCTCCCTCTTGACTTTTTGTGTTGCTTATGATCCTCCCCTCTGTGAACCCCGAAACTAACCAAATGGCTGCTGATAGCTATCATAAAGCCTGCCATTTGATATAAATATTTATCGATGCTCATATTACAGATGACCACGTCATCTCTACGCCCCAAATACACTTTTTCCACCACTACTACTATCATTTTAAAGAATAGTACAAAAACGAGCTTACCGTTCTAAGTTCTGGGGGTATTTAGTCTGCCAAAATTTATTAACTAGGTACTGCGATGAGGGATAATAGGAACCTCTCACTAATGATGCTATCAAGGTATGTTATATGTCAAAAGCACTAACTACGATGTTGGGATGCATGAATCATTATATTATTCCATAACGAATTTTTTGCCAATGTAATTAGGGAAGTCAAATAAAACATTTGTTATTTTACTCAGAATAAATTTAAAAACCTAGGATTTTCCTATCAGCCAGTGATAAAAGTGAAATTAAGCTCATTTTATAAATATAATAATGTAATCCATAACAGAATCAAAGGGAAATTTTTTTGTATTATTACAATTTAAACCAAGACTTTTAGTTTACAAAATTTTGTTAATTAAAATAGTTATGCGACTGGGCATTTCCAATGATTTTACCTGTAAGCTACTCATGTTCTAATTCTTATTAATTTCAATTAAAATATTTTGTCGCTGCTGTCAGTAGTTAGAAATTTAACCGACTTGAAACCTTCACAAGCTAATGGACACACCCTTAGCCATATAGCGTTTTGATTGGTTCGGTGCTTGGCTAAAGATTTTACGTGCAACACCTAGCACACATTGTAAAATTCAGAATGTATCAGCGAATACGATTAGCACTTCTTATTCTAATCTTTGTTACTTCCTTACTCACTCTCGTCTTTGTAATAGTTAATTATGAAGAAACAAAAAGTCAAAAAGGGCAAATACCGCTGCCAAGAGTAAATGAATGGCTTGATTGGTGCAAAAAGTACAACATGACATTCGATAGCGCAGCTGAAAATATATATCGCCACTCGGTTTGGCTTAAAAACTATGAGATGATTCAACGACACAACTCTTTAAATACCAGTACTTATAAAATGGGCCTCAATCAGTTCTCCTACATGGAACACTGGGAGTTTGTGGAAATGAACCTCAGGCGAAGGGGTGTCATTAAGGATAGCAATGAACCAGACACGCCGGAAACCACCATGACATTACCAGATATCGCCGCTACAACTGCTGGGAATTGCCTATCAACTAATCTTGACTGGAGGGACAAATTTCCATCGATTACAGCAAGAGATCAGGTACTAAAAATAGGACCATCTTTTCAAGCATTTATTTAATTATTATTATTATTTATAGCGCTTGATATTTCTGCGCAAAATTTTTATTGTCAAAACTTTGACCACAATAGATAAAGAATTATTTTCTAAAAATAAATCTATCACAATCGGATATGGGTTACGCATGTCAATTGCTTTATCATTGCGTGATGTTCAATGTCAAGTATTCATAATTTTAAAATGAATCAAGTTGATTACTATTTCTTAACAATTATTTGTGATGATGTTTATTTTGTCTGGACATGATTAATAAACCCTCACTTTAATTAATTATCAATTTGGTAGATCTTACTATTCATATGCGCAAAAAGATAATTAGGATTAAATGAAATCAAACCTATGTTTTGAAAATTTCTACTTCCAGTTAAGGAGATAAGGTTAATTCTCTTTACTTTAAAGCAAAATCTGTTTACAAGATTTGGATAAAAGCAAGAAAGCGTAAGCTCAACAAATTTTTATGCAAAAATAGTCAATAATTAGTTCTTATTAACATAAAATTTTCACTTGTTTGGTAGTAAAGCATGATAATAATATTATTACTATTTGATTGAATTGAACTTTTCCCATTCCATTTTTCTACAGATAGTTGTAAACGAACGAATATCATTCAAGCTCTAGAAATCCATTAATATTTGATATTACCGTAGGTTAAAAACTAAATTCTATGTAAAGCCCTGTTATTTTTTGCTCTATTGAGAAAGTTTCGTTTGGGTAATAATTTTTTATAATTTTGCTGCGAATATTCTTGCTTTTCTGTTTTCCTGAATGAATTCAAACTCTTTCTTTTGATTACCGTTCTCTGGAAGCTTCAATAAACTTTCCTGTTTATTTGACTGCAGTCTTACAGATTTTCTTTTGAGTCTCCCCATGGGAGTTTATTCGGATGGGGAGTTATTTGGTTCGAAAAAGGTAGTTCCATGAAATGGAATTCGCCAATTAACCGCCCTGGGTGGATTTTTGGACATGGTGATAATATTCTTCACAGTGTATTCATTTAATAACTTAGCATTTTTAATAAAATTAGAGTTCTTGTGGAGCATGCTGGGCGTTTGCATCCACAGCGGTGTTGGAATGGCACTGGGCGATACACGATGGACATGCCCTATCTATCTCACCGCAACAAGTGGTTGACTGTGTCCGAGCGAGCCATGGATGCAGTGGTGGATTAATCGAACACGCCCTCTATTATGCTCAAACACATGGAATTGCCACGGAATTGGACTATCCTTACAAATCTAGAGTGAGAAAGATATTTCTTAAATATTTTCCTTCTATTTTAAATGTCACTTTTGTCTTGAAGATTGAGAATTACGATGACTAAATTTTTACAATGCACGTATTCTCTTTTATAGATACAATCTCTTGCATATCTGTGTTTCATTTGATAAGCCTAAATTATGTCTAAAATAATTTCTAAAGCCCTTGTTAGGAGGTAGACACACTGTCTTAAGTTGAAATATACTTATAAATCAATTTCTTTGATGGTACAATCTAAAGAAACGTCCTAATTGGTAAAAATCATGTGACACGCTCCCTCTCAACCAACCTATTTGAATGATTAATCCCTTCTTACAATTCTATTCAAATTTATCTTCAGTTCCATCGTCGTAATTGATTAGATTCTATAAATACTCGCAAGATTTATATTGTAAGTCGAGAAATTATAATTCTCGTTAAAATTATATGAATACTTCCTTCTAATGCCATTATGTGCATCATTATTTTTATTTATATTTCTCCTTGTGTATCATAAATTCTTATTTTAGTTAGACTTCTTAATAGAACAGGTTTTGATTTGATTAGTTATTCACATCTTCCCCGTCATGTTGAAATTTTTTAACTATTTGATTACTGTACATCTTGAAAAAGCAGAAATAGAATGTCTAAATTAGTGAATTAATGCGCAAGTCAAATCCGACTCTTTGGGCAACTCAAATATTAAATTGAATGCAACCGGTAAACGGTAACAATTTGAAAGGAGTAGTGGCCTTCACACAGCTTTAGCTCGATATCCGCCACTGTAACTGTGTGCTGTCTCGAGAACTCAATTAATTTTCAACAATGAAAGGGATTTGTGATCTGGTATCTGGGCTTAACAGACAAAGTATTATCTTCGTCATATTTACCTTTCAAAATGTTTACTTTTCCTGCAATTTCCTTCATCTTTCTCTATTATCTACAGATAGATTTCTTAATACTGATAATTAATTTCTTCCTTTCAATAAAACGTATTCTGATTTAATGAATTTTTGGCCCATCGGTAGAACAGTTCAACTATTGCAAAGAATAAGGGACGGCAAATCATATATAAATAACAATAAAAGTGCATTTATTTCATTATTGGCTTGATAATTTCAATAATAGCTGTGTCCTTTTCTATAATCATTACCACTCTGGTGTCCAAGTTAGTGACAATTCTGGAATCCAGTTTTCTAGACCCCTTATGATAGGGACCTTATTTCGATCACAGATTTTGTGTCGCCGGTTTTTTGAAAAAAAATTATAAATCAATTTCACCGACTGCTCATGCATTATTTTCTATGGGTATTTCCTCAATTAAATATTTTATTTATTTAATTCATTTCAAAATATGCAACGAGAAATTAAAATTGTATGACTAAGTGCTTAAATTATAATCGTTTACCTTCACATTTATAATCATCTACTGATCTTGTTTCGTTTGCCCTTGTTGAACGGAATGTGAGCGACATCTTAAAAATTAAATTAGTAATAAGAAAAATCTCCACAGGAGAAATAAGGGTTGTGAAACTGTATTATCGGCATAAATTACCAAATCTGTAATAAATAATGTTTGTAAACATTATGATGATTGGGCAATCGGGTAATATTATAAACCTTCCAGGTTTTATCAGCATTTGTTTCGGAAATGACTGTCGCTTAAGTAAATTTCAAGATCTTACGAAATACTTGAGTATGTTTCTCTGATCACAATTTCGCCAAAAAGAGGTGAATTGGTTAAGATCATGTATGACCATGTAGCTTTAGTGGTCTACCAAGACGAAGTGTCACAACCGCCCATAATAAATTGACAGCGATTAAAGCTATTATTAGTGACTGTGAATAAAATTCTATATGTAACTCGGGTACCTTTTTTGAGATTTGAATCTTGGATCACGAACTCTCTACATAGTGAATATTCCATACACCGGAAAATCAAATGAAGACATTTCTTTCAATTCCCTTTACCCATTCTCGCTCCCGTTTCCCTCCCCTCCCCACACATCGATAAATAATGACACTGTCTGAATTTGTGCGGGCTATTACAATTATAATCCGTATTTCTCCGAAGCATTCAGAAGTGTCATGTTTTAGGAGACCTCAAAATACTAAACTATGAGCACTTAAAAATATCCCTTAAAAAATATCTATTAGCAAAGGTATTAATCGCAATAAATAAATTAAAATGTTAATTTAACTAAGTTTTTATTCTGGTCATCACAAAATGTACTCACAATCAGATGTATAACCTTGTCAAATAGCGATACTCTTCCTCTCTTCCCCCCCCCCTTCTCTTTCTCTCTCTCTCTCTCTCTCTGCACCCAACTAAACACCAGGGTAATGGAAAAATGTCCATGTTTACTCCAACGCAAATCAAATGCACTTTTTCAACTTCTCAGATTGGGCTTGTTTTTATGCGCCCGTGTGTGTGTATGTGTGTATATGTAACTAAATTATATCTGCTATGATCCTGCAGTGATTGGGAGAAAAGTATTCTTTTTGGCCCCGTCAAAGTCCGTGCGTATGTCTGCTAATAGCTTACTATTAGTTAAAACAGCTTTCAACTAATTTGCATTTTGAATGAATGCTTTTGTGTCTGAATGACTACATTTTGATTTCCTTACGGTGACATGCTTTAAATCTGATAAAATACGTGTCTTTTAAACTACGAACAATGTAGCAAACTTATCAGCAAGATCAATTATAACGGCTTCAAGAAATCCGAATCATATTGTTTGAGAAATGTATTTAACTCAAATCGTATCTTTATCTGATCACCAAATCCATTATACTAAAAATTGATGAGTTTACCTTGGCTGAATGCAGGTTATGGAGGACTGCTAACCTGAATGACTTATCTCTCATCTTTGCCACGTCAAAAACTGTAAACTTCACTGATTGTTGTGGACAAGATTTTGCTGCAATTCACTGTCAATTTGAATTCTTGAACTTTAGCCCATATTGCAATATTCTCGTTTAAAAATTCATCGAATGCGGATTCATTAGTATCGCAGCATTGCTCTACGTACACGGTTGGTCCATTTCCATATATCAGTTTATAGCCTTGCAATTGCTCAATGTCAGTTGTCTTCCGCCATTGAAAGTTATGGATCGTTTAGTAGTACCCTGGATAGTATCAATAATCTAATTGCTTTCTAGGTCACACAATGCATGGAAAATTCAACAAGAGCCGCTGTCAAAATTAGGGGCTATGCCACACTGCTGGAAATGGATGAGAATGCACTTGCCTGCGTTGTCCAACGAGTTGGACCAATTGCGATCGCATTCGACTTCAGTGGAGCTGGTCTCCAGCACTACAAGTAAGCTTATTAATTCAAATTTCCTCGAAGGAAAAATTCTTTTTTGGCAACTCTCACATGGTTACAATCGCTAAGCCAGAAAAAGGGTTTCGGTAAGCATTGAAACACTGTCCCCCGAAAAGTAGAGATACTGTTTAAATTTTCTGTCCAGAATAAGAGCTATTATGAGTAATAATGGTTTTGGCAAGTCTTGTTTAATTCCTGCGCGCATTAGACTACTTTTCATTTTGTTTCCAGTAAATGACTTAAATAATGAGACATGCATACAGTCGATCACCAAATATGCCCCGCTTCAGAAAATCATGATTTCTTTCAATAGTGTCACATTGACAAATGCAATTTATTTCACCTCACATATTTTTCCTACAAATCCTGTTTGAAGATGATAGACCAAAAGACTTTCTTTAGAATAAGCATCATTTCAAAGAGTAGAGTTCAGTTTTGCGTTGGCAACCGAGAGGGTTTGCTGTGAGTGAGTTTCACTCATTAAAATAGCTTAGAATTTAGCTTTTTGCATAAAAAAATAAGAATGAACTTGGCTATTATCACTTTTCACATTTATTTAACAAGTTAGGAATATTAAAAAGCGAATTCGGTTTTTCTCATGTGCTGAATATCCGCCATACACGTTCCGGTCATTAAAATGCCAAAAGTAATCATTTAAATGATCCCATATGCCGTTTATCTCTTTGATCTCAACAAATGCATTAGCTGTCAAATTCTGGTCAGATACGGTTTGCTGTTGCCACGATTGTAATGATCAAAATGATCTTCACATCGGTAGTCGAATGGTGCATAAGTAACATTCTAATTTGATTAAAAATATTTAATAAATAAATTAAATAAATTGATACAATCAATATAAATTTCTTTGGAATGAGATGTGTAGAAAAATGTGACTTAAAAATCTAGAATTTCAATTTTAATGTTGTCGCCAACTTAATTCATTTTTTAACATTTTCGTATCTGAAACTTCTCACGTAATTCTCATTTAAGTTTTTTAAATCTTTCGTAATCGTTGGATATCGATTACGATTGACTTGAAAGAAATCATTGACGTGCGAATAAATTGATATTCTATAGTCAAATATTGGCGAATGGTTGTATCAATCTTCCAATTTAGCGAATTCTCGAGTAAAGGAAATTATAATCTTGGAGCAGTATCGAAAACTGCTCCATTGAAAGGAAGTCGGTTGATATTAATGTTCGATAGAAACTTATCGGCATGAACACAATACCCTTTCGAACATTTATGAGCTTCTATTCCTTCCTCACTTTTCAAAATCTATTCTTTATTGAAAATGAATGATTTCAATTCTAACTACCGCTTCTTCTGTAAATAAGCAATAACAAACTACTCCTCTACTGACACGAAAGTGTCTGGAGGAGGGTATTATAGGGTTTACGTAATCACAATTTTGCGGCCAAGATACACGCCTACACTATTTGTATGTGCCGGTCAGACTATTTCCGCCGCTACAATTAAGTTAGTGCAAAATTTCGATGCTGACCTGCAAGGAATGTGATTAATTTTGGCAATGTAAGGAACCTGTTCCAAGCAAGGATTTCACTATGCAACGTTTTCTCAACAATACAAGATGTAATGAAAGAGTATAACAGGAATATACGGGTAAGAACCATGAGTTGAAGTAAGAAAGGTAAGAAATAAATTAACTACCTTGCCAATAGGCTGCTTTTGTTTCCTGCAGTTTAGAATTGTGGTTGAGTATACCTCAGTAAGCTTATATTGGTCGACCTGCACAAGTACCCCCCTTTTGGCCGATAAGGTTCAATTCTCGGTAAATGTCCAATACTTCAGCGATGAAGTGCCTAATGCCTTACATAAGGAAAAGTGTGCAGTCATAAATAACCCAATAATAGATTTACCCAATCAGAATGCAAAATGTGTAGTTCCATGAAATTAAAATATCACATGTACTCCCTAAGTATACGATACATTAGGTCAACACGTCAATGTATAAATCAGGGGAAGCATAAAATATTTTTGCTCATCAAGTTTGAAAATAAATATAAAACCCTCTATTTTTCTAGCATTCACTGCTCCTTCTATATTCAAGTAAATATATTATTCTCGACTTAGGCTTCAGTTCTGATAGGTGTAAAAAAGTACTTGCACGCTTTCAGCCACCTTTTCTTCTCCCATGTCTAACCAACTCCCTTGCTTCAGGTTAAGATTTGAATTGGCAAAAGCATGTACTTCGACTTAGCCGACAATCCTTTTCACTTATCATGTGTGGAGTCATCCCAGTGCCTTCCGATTGTTCGTGGAAAGAAATGAGAATATAGAAAATGAAGCATATTCCCTTAACAGCACACTCGACTTTTTATATTCAATCTCACTTCTTATCTTTCCTTTCAATAGATCAGGAATTTATGACGGCACTGACTGTAGTACTGAGCTACTCAATCACGCCATGGTACTGGTGGGTTTCGGTACAGACTCCAAGGGCAACAAATATTGGATCGCTCAGAATTCCTTCTCGCAAAATTGGGGTGAGAATGGTTTCTTCCGCCTAAAATTCGGTGTCAATCTCTGTGGAATAAATTCAGACCCAGTCCTCCCAATAGTTTAGAAGGGCGAACAACTTGAGATTAAGGATGACGAAAAGGAATCCAAAAATGTCTAAATAAGCATAAATTTGCATTTAAAATACCTTAAAAGATGAATTATCTGCCCTCTCTCTCTTCCCCTGCTTCGTTCTTCAAAATGTACCGTCTTCTTGCTTTGTTATGCCCACTCCTCGAAACCTATATTGATCATTTTTGTTAAATTGGTGAATCCAATATGATATTTTAACAGAATTTTGCCTTTTTGGTCATACACGCGGACATTTGTACAAACAGAATATGGAATTTTATTTCTGTTCAATAATGAACTTGAATTGTAGAACCTCAAAGTAATTCTGATCCAACATTAAAGCTTTAGTAATGATCCCATTTAACCCATGATCTAACTAAGGCTAAGAGGTAATCATAAATTTATAAAGGTTGAATAAACAAAGAAATTGGTTTTTCAAATGTGTATTGGCCAGTTGGACGTGAATGTGATAGGAGAGGGAAAAGAATTGGAAGAGAAGTTGGGGGAGGAGGCGGTCCAACTTGAGATAGATAGTCAAAACAAATTAGACATTGAGGTGCACATGCAAGACGAACTACCCAACAAAATTCGGTAATCATAGATCAGGTGAGTCGATACGTACGCCATATGTAGACAGAGCGAACTTGTGGTTGCGCAAGTACAACAAAAAACACCTTTTGCAAATTTCATTGTATTTTCTGGTACTTTACGGACTTCTTCATTCTTAATTAATAAACGTGTATCAAGATATTTTGTAAGAAGTAGTTAAAGAATTTATAATGACATGACATTTCCTGTTATTTGCATTACAGTACAGTTTTGACTGTATCAACCTACCCCTAATATCCACGTTTGCCTTACAGCATGCATCTATTTTTCAAGGTTGTAACTCTGTGGTAATAATTAAAGGAAAAATTAAGACACTGAAAAGGTCAAAAGACAATTACTTGTTTCAGCTTTTTTGCACATTTAGCAAGGATAAAGGTGTCATGAGTTGAATATTGAATGAATATTACTTAAATATTAATTAAATGATCTCATGAGACCATTGTAATAAAATAATTGTTAGTTTATTCTAGATACCTAAACACTTTTCTTCTATTTGCGACTGCCAACTGATTATCTGGAAGAATTTAAAGCATTAGCCTGTGAAATAAGTACTTTTTAGAAACTAATCGACCTAAGATAGAGACACGTTAAATACCACCCACCAGGAATTAGTGCAACAGCTAATTTAATAAGCGAGATTAAGTGAGAATGACTCATTACTTCTAAGTAAATGCTGTGCTGCAAAAATATATGTCTTCGACACTACTTGTTGGTGATTTTCTCAACTAGACAGCTCCATTTTCAGCGAAATTTTTGGAGAGCAACCTCGTCTTTTTATCCCAATTTATTGCATCATCAATTCAATGCAAAGTAAATTCTAATGCAATCTAAAATTTGCAGATTTGTTTGAATGCACACGCGTCTTTTGTCAAGTCTATTGCCCTATGGCTTAAACACCATCCATTCACTCAGGTAATTGCATTAAAATTAAGTGACAGAATACAAAGTGAAAGAAGACTCTTGTATTCGTAATAACCGAATGAAGCAACAGGTTAAAAGTTTGAAAATGCGACATCTAATATGACTGAAGAAGTATAAGGTAAATGACAACGCTATGACAGCTTGGTTACAACTGTGTGGTGAAGAGGTCAATATTTGCTGAAAATAAAAAGTGGTTCAAAATCTGTAAGTAGGTCTATTTTTCAAAATTGCTGCTGCGTTTAGTCTATATTCAATGATCAATTTCTCAATTCATAGGTACGTTTCTTCCATTCCAATGATTAATAAGCAGTAAAAATGTTTGTAAATAAATTTTTATCAGCCATTCATCAAAGTGCATACAGGTGATAATAAAGAGAAGCTGAATCTCCGAAACTTCTATTTACATATATTCCTATTCAATTCATAAACAAATTGATGTGGAAGGAAGACCAACTTTGAGTGGAGCTTCTGAAAGGGCAATCTGCTACTTGAACATTCTTGTTTACATTTAAGGATAGTCTTTTTCACATTTCAAAGGGAAAAGGATCTCTATATGTTGATTCTGGTCTCATATAATTCACCTTTACTGCCTAAATATTTCTTCTTATTTGAAGTTTCACACCTATGTGTTTGTCGCATTTAAAAGTTAAGAGGATTAGTTAGCATGAAATGGTTGCCACTTTTGAATGTGATCTGAACAGGTTATTCTGGGGCTAATTATATATTATACTATTTTAATTGGATTCACTTTAATGCATGTGTCCACATGTGGTAATTCGATCAAATTAATGGCATCTGCGTGTGTATAAATAGATTACTTCAATCATCTGTGGACTGGAGCCATGTGGAAGGAAGAAGCCAAATCACTCGTGTGATAAAACAGTCTGGTGATGGCCGGAGCAGCGGCCTCAGATTATCGACAGGATGAATGTTTACATATAAAAGTTATGCCTAGAGAGATGTCAGTCCTGCTGATTGTCGGTGTCTCCGTGCAATGATTGGCAGGTGCGTAGGTTACTGTTCACACACGCATATATATACACATTCCCTACCAGTGAATGCTGCTGCCTAGATCTAATCGTTTCCGGTGGCTCTTTTTTTAGAGCCCGATTATGTTTTAAACCCAAATGTTGAAAAAAAGATACGATTCAACAAAATAAAATACTACTGAAATTTCAAAGGTAAGGCAACTATGTGACTATTAATTTTCCCATCATTTTGTGCTATTCAGATGGGCTAGTAAACTTTTGCTTCTTTTACCGGCTAAATGAGGTCATTTGTTTTCGGAGTTATCCTCTTGAATTGGCTTATCTATCATCTTTTGAAGCGCTGTTTGCTATCGAATTTTTATTGTATTAATGTCAATATTCATGACAGAGATTAAAATTAATGTCCGACAATTCGAGCTAACGCATGTTGTTCTCTTTATCTACTCATATTTTATTCATATTTGCTTAAAAAGCATTTAAACATGCGAAGAAATAAGACCGGTTCAATAAGACGAAAAGAGGGAGAGAGAACCTTCTATATGAACCATACATTCATTATTTTGCCAGGTGAGTCAATGAAGTTTATTGAGAAAGTGTTTACTTATTTTGTTTGGCCCTTGTATTTACAAACAAACAATAAGTGTTTACAATTGACCACGCTAAGCAAGTCCGTTGCGATCATTCAATTAATATTATGTCTTGGATACTCCTTCCATTCACGTCTTCAATTGTATTTATATCAAATGTCAGGCGTTTTGATAGTTATCATTAGTTCTTTAGTTGACTTCAGGCTTCATAGAGGGGATAGAGCACCAAAGTGAAAAAAGGGTCGAGAAGGAGGTGGGGACAGAAGAGTGTTTCAAAGACGAAGGTAGAAGAAAGGTGAGGTGAGTACTGTGAAAGTATTCGAATATGACATACGCTGGGGTGATGGTAGCTTGAAATCAGAAGTCAACCGCCAGGTAATAAACTATTTCGCCGTATGAGTATACGTTGCCCAGGGTGCACCACGTGGAGGTAAGTATATCGTACACCCCATATCTTCAATCGTTAATTATCTGTACGTGGCCGTCCTTAAAATTTG